TTCTCAAAATTTAAAATCCCAGGATGACTATACTAGAAAAATTCATCTGGCATGACGACCTAAACAGAATTAATTGTTCCGTGATTTGACAAAAAAGTTTAGCTCGAATCCATGAGAGGTATAATAACGGTCATCCTGGCTTCATGCTTTAGAAGTAAATAAAATATCGTATCGTATCCGTATCGTATCGTATCGTATCGCATCGTACGATAGGCCTGTTAAACATAAACATAAAGAAGCAATGGGCGCGAAGAACAAACGCCCATATCTATATGAAATAAAATGTTAACATCATTATACATGATGACTTTTCAAATGTTAATTGTTAGTAAATTAATTAACCAATTCAACTGTGCTAGCAAAACAGATGCTACCTCTTAATAACAATGACCCAGGTATTCGTATTAAGTTTCATGAATTTATTCAGCAAAAATTATCTACACACACACACAAACATACAAACATGTATACATTCATTCATACATACATACATACTTATTTTCTACATATATGATATATATAGTTATATATAGATATTATTCTTGATATATTTATTTATTAAGAATCTTGTCATAAATTCTGGATGCAACTTGAACCCAGGTCAAATGTCTTCAATAAAATTTGAAAATGAAACAATTGAATACAATACGTCACGCCAAGAAAATAAACTTGTGTGTGTGTGTGTGAGTGTGTGTGAGTGTGTGTGAGTGTGTGAGTGTGTGTGAGTGTAAAATTGTGTGTTTGTATGTATTTTCTATAAAATCACTTACAACTATATCTCTTGCAAGAATTTGAAACTTTCTTTGGAAGCCTGGCTTGCTTTGGCAGAGTGAAAAAATTGTGTAATAGTGATTGTATGTGTGTATGTTTGTGTATATGCATGTAAGTATGTGTGTATGTATGTGTGTATGTCTGTGTGTATGCATGTAAGTATGTTTGTATGTATGTCTGTACTTTAACATTTATCTATAAACAACCTATATATACTTACACCTCCTAACATAAATTATCATCTACATTAAAATACATACAAACTTGTGTTCACACCTATAACTGTTTTAGATTTAAACACACAAACACACACACACAACACACACACATACAGACAGACACATCACCAAACACATATTTGTGTATACACATACAAATATTTACTAATACATGCGCACATGCACTGACATATACAAATTTAAAAACATAAAAACACATACGCTCATACAAACATAAATACACACACACAAAACACATACTTACAAACATTTTTTAAAAAACAGTATCACTCATATCAATCCATACTCTTTATCCGAAATTATGGAAGAAATGCGAATTCAATAGCACGCTTTCTTCTGAGATAGACCTAAATGTATGTATGTTTGTATGTATGTATGTATGTATGTATGTATGTATGTATGTATGTATGTATGTATGTATGTATGTATGTATGTGTGTGTGTGTGTGTATGTATATGTATGTATATATATGTATGTTTGTTTGTTTGCTTGTATGTCTGTTTGTATTTTTGTGTGTTTAATGTTAAAAAATAGAACAAAGAAAAGATAGAAAAATCTAGCAACAACAAAAATAACAATGAAATCGAAAGAAAAACAAAGATATAAAAATAAAATTAATATCAGTTTGGTGATTGTCATTCATGACAGCGTTCCATAAGGTCAAAAGTTCTACTGGTTTTTTGTTCTTTTTTTGGCGGGAAAAAATAAAATAAAAAAAATTTTTTTTAGCGCGAAAAACTAGAACGAAAATACATTTAAAAAAATTATTTTTTAAAATTTGACATTGTTTCGTTTTGACAAAATAATCGAAAGTAAATAAAATGAATGAATTAAATTTGAAAATATCTTCAAATTCTGCTTTCTATATTGACTTTAGTTTCGATACAGATTAATGTTGCTATTATTATTATTATTACGATGGTGGTGATGATGTAGATGATGCAGATGATAAAGATGATGATAATAATGATAAGAATGATGACGACGACGACGATGAAAAAGAATATGACGATGAAGATGATGACGATGAAGATGATGATGACGATGAAGATGATGATGATGATGAAGATGATGATGATGATGATGAAGATGATGATAATGATGAAGATGATGATAATGATGAAGATGATGACGATGAAGATGATGAAGATGACGACGACGATGGTGATAATGATGAAGATGAAGACGATGACGATGACGCGAATTACGAAGAAGCATAATGACAACCACCGTAAAAAAAAACTAAGTTTGATTGATAGCGTTTATAAGCAAATGCGCTCACATAATTCTATCACCAACATCACCATCGTTATCATCATTATCCACCAACATCACCATCGTCATCATCATTATCCACCAACATCACCATCGTCATCATCATTATCCACCAACATCACCATCAAGTAAGGTGTTAGGGTGATTTGTCTCAGGAGGTTCGCATTGTTTGATGCGTGTGGCAATGATGTTGATGTTTTTGTTGATGTTATTGTTGATGTTGATG